TCGACCATGATCTCTTTCCCTGCTGGAGGTTCTAGATTGGTTGTGATAGCTCTCTTTTCTGGGGGTTTCAGGTTGGCTGTGATTTCCAGATTGGCTATGATCTCTGTCCTTGCTGGGGCTTCTAGATTGTCTCTGACTTTTCTCCTTGCTGGGGATTCTAGATTGCCTGTAACCTCTCTCTTTACTGGGGGTTCTAGACTGGCTGTGTCCGCTCATCTGGCTGGGAGTTCCCTTCTGGGTACGACTTCTTGCCCTACTGTGATTTCTCTTCCATCTGTGACTTCTCACCCTGCTGTGGGTCCTCTTCCGACTGCGACTTCTTGCCCTTCTGGGTGTTGTAGACGGGCTGTGACTTCGAGTCCTGCTGGAGGTGCTAGATCGGCTGTGACTTCGGGTCCTGCTGGGTACACTACCCTGGTTGTAACTCTTGACCCTGCTGGACATTTCAGTTGGGCTGTAACTCCATTCCCTGCTGGGGGTAATCATCTGACTATAACTCTTTACCCTCCTCAATGATGATGGAGACTGGCTGTAACCTATCTCCTTGAAGAGAATTCTGGAGGGGCTAGAACTCTTTGCCCTACTGGGGGTTACAGCCAGCCTGGAACTCTTCCCCACACCTGAGGCTCCTGGTGGGCTATCACTCTTATCTCTGCTCATATTTCTCTGCTGGCTCTCATTCCTTTCCTGGTTGTTGGTTGTAGGCTGGCTGTAACTTTTCCCCCCACTCTGGGAAGTAGGAGTTTTTTCCCTGCTGGGCATGCCTCGTTTTGCACCCTGAGGTTTCTTCCTACCAGGAGTGCTGGCCCTGCTGGGTGACCTCTTGGAGCTGTGGCTTCCCCTTGGGCCGGGAGTTCTGCCCCGGCTGTGTGTGCCCTTCTGCTGGTGGTGTCTTACCCCGCCAGCCTTGCTGGCTTTGCTGGCCCTGGTGTCAGTGCTGGCTTTGCTGGGTGTTCTCGCCCCGCTGCGGCCTCGGGAACTGCTGCTGGGCTGCTTAGAAGGGGCTGTCTTTGTACTTGCCCATTTAGACTTGGAACTGCTGGGGCTCATGACCAAGTTGGGTGCTGTCGATGGCTTGGTAGGCACTGAAGAGCTGTTGGGCATTGCTGATTTAGTGGTCTTCAAGGAGGCATGAGGCTTGGGAGACACTGTGGTGGGCATCGAGGGTCCAGTGGACGCTGGAGATGTGCTGGACTTTGAGGATCTCGTAGGTGGAGAAGACATGGTAGGCGCAAAAGGACTTTTGGTCCTGGAAGCCACAGGGGACACGAAAGACCTGGTAGCTAGCCATGGATGACCACCTGAGTGCCTTTCACAGGCCACCTGCATGAAGTCATAGTGGGCACTGAAGACCCTGGAGGGTAGGTAGGTGGTGTGAAGTCAGAGGTGGGAGGATAAAGAGGGGTGGGGCTCCATCCAAGGCCAGAGATGCTTCCTCTGTGTTTTGCAGCCATTTAGGGAATGTGTCCTGATGCTGACTCGGGCTCAGCATTGCTGGGGATGTGGAGACAGGCACCCAGGTCCTGCCTTCCCAGGAGTCTGTAGTCTCTAGACCCAGACAATCACTGCTCAGGTGGTCAGGTTGTGTTAGGGGAACTAGAGGAGACACTGACCGCCTGGTGAGTCAGGGAGGACCTCACAGAGGAGGTGACATGTGAGCTGGGACCTTGAAGAAGAGGAGGCGTTTGCTGGTAGAGAAGGAAAGGTCACCCCAGGCCCGAGGAGAGCGGAGGCAACAGCCTGGACGAGGGAGATCAGGGCCTCGGGGCCCTGACAAAGTCCCTGCTTTTCTGGACAGGTGGTAAACACACAAGCAGATGTTGTATAAAATAAGTAGAGGAGAAAAATAAAGCAACGTTAGGGGCATAGGGAGTGCTGGGGAGGGATTGCTGGTTAGACAGAGTGACCAGGGTGCCACTGAGAAGGTGACATGAGCAGAGATGTGGCGGAGGGGCACACTAAGCAAGCCTTAGTCCACCTCCAGAAAGGGCGGCAAGGCCCTGAGGCGGGGGTGCACGCCCGGGGTGTGGAGGTATAGGAGCCCCGTGTGGCTGGCTCAAGTGTAACAGGATCCTGAGTGAGGGCTGCCAGGGGAAACTGAGGAAAGGGGTGGCAATGGATGGCAGTGCAAGGCTGTTCCAGTCCTAGGAGATGCTTTTGGCAGGCTCCTGCCACTGCACCTGAAGCCAGTATTTCCTGCCCTGCTGCCAAAGTGGGGACTCCCCCCTCCCAGACCAGTGTTTGTGTGTGTGCACCCCTCCCCCCCCTCCCATAGCAACTGCTGATGTCACCCTTTCCTGTGCATGGACATTACATTTTTTTCCTTTTTTTAATCTAAGCTTGTCCTAGGCATGTCCTTCATACCTATGAAATCACAGTAACATATCTATACTTATACATATTTTAATTCACTTAACTAGATATTTATATATACAGTAATGTGCCACATAATGACGTTTCGGTGACCATATGTATGACAGTGGTCCCATAAGACTATAATGGAGCTGAGAAATTCGTATTGCCTAATGACATCATAGCCATCTTAGTGTTGTAGCGGAATACAATACACACACACCATTGTGCCTCAGATGCCTACAGGATTCACTACAGGAACATGCTGTACAGGTTGTAGCCTGGGAGCTATAGGGGAACCGAATTTGTCACCCCAAAATACAGTTAACCCTTGAACAACACAGGTTTGAACTGCGCAGGCCCACTCATACTAGGATTTTTCAGTTGACCCTCCGCATTAGAGGGTCAACTGGTGGTTGTGAATCTGCGTGTGGGCGACTTAAGTTATATTCGGATTTTCGACTGTGTTGGTAATCAGCGCCCCTAACCGCTGCCTCAACCCCATACACCCTGCACTGTTCAAGGGTCAACTGTAGGGCTGTTTTCAAGGAAAGGCAGACCTGGGGAAAACTCTGAAAACTAAGAAGTTACCCTTTATAAGAGACAGTTACATTTGTAAGGGAAATCTCCATTTGTAAGGGGCCTCCCTCACTGTACCTGGAAAAAGGAGATGACTTTATCTCTAGAAAACTCTTATCCACGCAAAAGACAAGGATTTAAATCTGCATAACAACCGTACCCCTGGTTACTGTGCTTTTCCTGGTAGTCTCCCATACTTGGCTCCCCCCGGGCCCAACATCGTTGTCATCAGCTGAAGATAGTATTGAAGGTGGGGGCTTCAGCCATTTTGGGGAATTACTCAGTGTTCCCTGGGTCTCCCCGCTGTACACAGGAGGTATACATGTTATTAAGACTTTTTCTTCTGTTTGTCTTTTATTATGGGGATATTTCAGCCAAGAACCCAGAAGGGTAGAGGGCAAATTATTTTTCCTCCCCGCAGAGCAGTAGCCTAGGTGTGTAGTAGCCTAGACTGCCTAGGTTTGTGTAAATGCACTCTGTGGTGTTCGCACAACCACAAAATCTCACAACCACGAAATCGCCTAACGATGCATTTCTCAGAATGTATCCCTGTCATTAAGCAGCACATGACTGTATGTAAAACCACATATACGACTATATCAAAGTACATATACACTGTGTGTTTGAATTTGCTTAAATACCTATTCAAATGTTTGTGTCCCTAAAATGATCCAGCGTAGGCCATCACCCATATTTAGCTTTCCCTGTTAGAGCTGTGTGACTGGAGGCCTAACTGCCCTGTGCCTCGGTTTCCCCATTTGTCACTTAGGGATAATAGCAACACCTCCCTCACAGGGTTGCCGTAAGGATTAGGTGAGTTATAATACTACACAAGAATAGGCTTCTTCCTATAGCAATGGATGCTGCTGGTGCTGTTACTGTTTTTACTATTCCTCCTTTTAGTCCTATTTTGTCCTTATTAACGCCTTAAGATATAGTTCTTACAAGACATTCATTTGCTTGAGCACCTACTGTGTGCCAGACCCTGTTCTATGTGGCGGGGAGCCTCTGTGGGGAAGAGCAGGATTGTGTCCAGGCTATGCTCTCCATACAGTACATGCCTGAATGGGGCTCAGGGAGGGGACAGCCAGGCACAGCCCCCTGTCCTCTGATGCCTCTGTCTTTCCCCACCTGTCCTCCTACAGGTCCCGAGCATTCCTCTGACTCGGAATACACACTCTCAGAGCCGGACTCCGAAGAAGAAGAAGATGAGGAGGAGGAGGAAGAGGAGACCACTGACGACCCCGAATATGACCCTGGCTACAAGGTGAAGCAGCGCCTGGGCGGGGGCCGGGGTGGCCCTTCCCGCCGGGCCCCCCGTGCAGCTCAGGCCCCGGGCCCCCCAGCTCAGCCCTGCCAGCTCTGTGGCCGCTCACCTCTTGGGGAGGCCCCTCCAGGCACCCCACCCTGCCGGCTCTGCTGCCCTGCTACAGCCCCTCAGGAAGCGCCAGCCCCCGAAGGCAGGGTCCTCGGGGAGGAAAAGGAGTTGCCTCGGGCTGGGGAGGGCCGACCAGCTGGGCGGGAGGACGAGGAGGACGAGGACGAGGAGGGGACCTACCACTGCACGGAGTGTGAGGATTCCTTCGACAACCTCGGGGAGCTGCATGGGCACTTCATGCTGCATGCCCGGGGTGAGGTGTAGGCAGAGCCCCCCTGACCCAGGGAGCTTCCCAGAAGGGGTAGGGTGGGAGGAAGGGGCTGAGGAAATTGGAGTGGTCACAGTGGTCATGGGGGATGGAGTACCGCCGACCTATGTTGTCTTAGCCGTAGATGTGTGAAGGCCAGAATAAAAGCCAAATTCTGTGTGTGTCAGTCCAGTGTGTTTGGTGTGTGTGTGTGTGTGTGTGTGCGCGTGTGTGTGCGTGCACGTGTGCGTGTGTACATTCCAGTGTGTGTGGGCATTTATCCCCCATCTCTCTCTGGGCTTCTTCTTGGGAGCACTTTAGGATCGTTGATAATATTTACTAAGAGTTTATGTTCATTGTGGCTTCTATTTACTCATAAGGCCGCAAGCGCAAACACAACAGAATTTTGTTTCGCTCACGTAATAGTCCAGGGTGGGTGTTTCAAGTGGGCGGGCAACCCTTCTCCATCTGGTGGTTTAGGGACCTAGGCCATCCCTTAAACCCATTGTCATCGATGTGGTGATGACAGGGTGGCCATGGCCTGGGAGCCTGGAGAGGTACACGTATTTTCTCATAAGCCCCAGCCCAGGAGTGGTATATACTGCTTTCCTTTATGTTCCTTTGCCAAGAAATTAGTCACATGCCACAGCTCACTGCAAGGGAGTCTGGGAAAGGCAGTCTAGCCAACTGCCCAGAACGCAGGAAACAGTGTGTGGAGGACACCTCGTGTTCTCTGCCATTGTGCTTAAGAACCTCCACAAAGAGGACTTTCATTATAATCGTAGCTGCGCTTCCTGAGCACTTCCTGGGTGCCAAGTGCCACCCCAAGAGCTTTATATACATTGACTCATACAAGTTGTGAATCTAGGAATTTACAAAAATAGAACCTTAATCATTATCACAGCTGCCATTTTCCCAGCACTTACAGAGTTCTGCATTTTATTTGCATGAGATCATCAGGTCCTTAGAATAACTCTGTGAGGTAAGGCCTGTGATCCATTAATTCATTTAACAGACATCTTTTGAGTACCTGCTGTGTGTGCTAAGCATTGGGAATACACTCATGAATAAAATAAAATCCTTCTCCTTTTGGAGCTTACATGGGGGCGGGAAGGAAACACTGGTGGGGACAAGACAGTAAACAAGTTAAGATGTGCTGGATGGTGGTAGCTGCTATGGAGAAAATAAAGCCGAGCAGGGAGAAGAGTTCTGGAAGGGAGTTACAACTTTAAAGAGCGTAGTCCTCCCCGAGGAGATGACAGACCTGAAGGAGGGAAGGAGGAAGAAGCCGTGCACATCTGTGGGAAGAATGTTCCAGGTGGAAGGAGGCAGGAGCCTGCCCACATCAGGAAGGCCACAGTGGCTGAAGCGGACGGAGGGAGGGAGGGAGGGCGGGCAGAGCTGGAGGGGTGAGATCGGAGGGGAGCAGAGGGCCAGCTCCTTACAGCCTTGTCCAAAGTTTGGCTCTCACCCTGAGATGGGAAGTACTAATTCACAGAAGCTTGGCACCGCAACTGCTTTGAAAATAGAAGCCTAATTATAATGATAGTTACCATTTACTGAGCATTTACTGTGTGCCAAGCCCTATTCTAAGGCGCTTTACGTGTGTTAACTCATAGAAGCTTGGCAACTAAGAACCTTCAAGAATAGAACCTGAATTACCGTAATGACCATCATTAAGTCAGCGCTCACAGCGGACCAGGCCCTGGGCCAAGAGCTTTATATGGACAATCGCCTTGGAACCTTATGAGGTAGGGACTGTTGTTTATTTACTCCTTTATTCAACAATGATTTATTGAGCACCTACAAGAGGCAGCCACTATTTGGGGAGCTGGGACTAGAGCAGTGAACATGATAAAGACCACTGCCTTTGTGGCTGTTACACTGGGGAAGACAGACAGACACTTAATTAGATATTTAAGTAAAATATAAAATATATAGAGTGTTAGAAGGTAGTAAGTGCTGTGCAGGAAAGGGAAGGAGGATGGGGAGGCTTGTGTATGTGTGATACAGTTTCAAATAGGGTGGTCAGGAAGGCTTCACTGAGCCTTCTCATCAAAGCAGAGAGATAGGAGGGAATGAGCCATATGACTGTCTGCAGGAATAGCAAGTGCAAAGGCCCTGAGGTTGGAGCCTGCTTGGGATATTTGTAGTAGAGCACACGGGGCCTCAAGGCTGTTGCTGAGGAGGGCAAAGTCAGAGAGGGGCAGAGGGCCAGGTTGTGTAAACCATTATACCGACTTTGGCTTTCTCCCTGAGTCTGAGTTGTTGTCATAATCCTTAGAGACATAGGGGCTGCTATCACAACCATTTTACAGCTGCTACAACTAGGACATATAGACGTTGAGTTATCTGCTAGAAGTCACAGCTAGTAACTAGCAGAGCCCGGGTTTGATTCCACACATTCTTAGCCACTAAGCTGCACACCGGAAATGACAGTGGCTGTCCCAAGCCACCATCTGACTTGCAGGAAAGTCTTTAGTCTCCATGGAGTTACTGAGGTTTTTAATCATGTTGGTTACCAACGTTTAAAATGGGCAGATTTCACCTAGAAATGGGGTTTTCTGGCTTCTCTTGCAAAACAGATCTAGATTGCTGAACCCATAATCCCATGGGGCAGTAGTTTGCTGGAGCTGAGTTGGGGGTCACCTCATGTTAATGGGGCATTCCCTGCCATGTGCCCAGGCCCCACTGTCTGGCATCTGGACCCCTCACACCTGCCTGGTACCTGCTTGAACCCAAAAAGCATTTGTATTTGACATCTGTTACAGCATCGTAGATCAAAGCATCTTTCAAAACCCACACTTTTTATCCTAGAAGCTCAAAACCTGGCATTTATCCACTCCTTGAACTGAGACGTTCATACCCATTATAGCATAGCATCACTGAATCTCAAAATCGTCAGAGCAGAAATGCACAGCTCATTAAAACAATACGGATGGATTTGATTTCCTGGGGCAGCTTGCTTAAACCTTCTTCTGCCCTAGGACAAGGCTTTCTTTCTAACCACAGATGTACAGAATTATTCATGCATCACCAAAAATTCCTAAGGATCATGAGAGACTAGTAATCAGGAGTCCCGATCTGCTGCCAGTGGGGTCATTCAGTTCCTCCGGACCCAGTCAGGATATGGAAATGGAGCTAGGAATTCCAAAGAGAATTTAAATTTAATACAGGGAACTTGTCACATGGGTGTTCCAAGGCTGGAAGCATAAATATGGAAAAGTGAGGTAACTGAGAAATTAGTATCTGCAAGATGCCTCCACCTCTAGGACTGGGATACAGAAAGGAAGCGAGATTACCAGAATCCATAGGTGCTTGGAGCGCAGGCCACATGTGGCTGGTGTAGGGATCAGTGAGGAGGTGCCATGCTGCTGGTGTTTAAACCTCAGGAGGGGCATAGTGCCCTGTGTGAGAGTATAGAAAGGTACTAGAGGGGCCGGCCAGGTGGCGCAGTTGGTTAGAGTGTGAGCTCTGAGCAACAGGGTCCACCGGTTCGATTCCCACATGGGCCAGTGGGCTGCACCCGAGCTGAGTTGCTGCTATGCTGCCAACAGGTGTCAGGATGGCTCAGCTGGTGAGAGCACATGCTCCTAACAACAAGGTTGCAGGTTCGACTCCCATATGGGATGGTGGGCTATGCCCACCCGCAACTAAGATTGAACACAGCACCTTGAGCTAAGCGGCCACGAGCTGCTGATGGGCGGCCAGATGGTTCAGTTGGTTAGAGTGTGTGCTCTTAACATCTTAACAACAAGGTTGCTGGTTAGATTCCCGCATGGGATGGTGGTCTGCAACTGCCTCCCCGCCCACCCCACAACTAGATTGAAAGCAGCAACTGGACTTGGAGCTGATGGGTCCTGGAAAAACAGTGTTCCCTTCCCCAATTCCCCAACACTGTTCCCTCGCCCAATTCCTCAATACAATCTTTAAATAAAAAGAAAGAAAGAAAGGTACTAGAGATCGAGCTGCTGCTGGAGGGGTTCCCACCAGAGCCTAAAACAAGGTGAGGCCCTTTCTCCCTCTTCCCTTCCTCTACCCATACCTCTCATGGGCAGGACTTACAGAAGCCAGCTCTCTAAGGCAGGCTGGAGGCCAAGAGACACTAGGTAAACACGCATTCAAGGAGTATTTTTTGAGCCTCTGTGGTAAGCGCTGTCAGGTGCTATGGATGAAGCAGTGAGGAAGACAAGACACTTGTCCTCAGGAGCGTGGTTTCCAGCATAAGGACACAGATAAAGGTATAAAAGTCTGATAATTCCAGGTATTGAAGAGTGCTGGGAAGAACTTAAGTCACGGTAAGAGTTGGTGGTGCTACTTTAGCCAAGCAGGCAAGGAAGACCTCTCTGAGGAGGTGGCCTTGCGAAGTTCTGGGTAAGAACACTCCAGGCAGAAGGAACAGCAAGTACAAAGGTCCTGAGGCAGAAGCCAGCCTGGTATGTGTGGCAGGAGTGCAGTGAAGACAGCAAGGAGGGAGTTGAGATTGCTTAGTGGGCTGGGGCCCAAGCACTGTTGGGTTTTGTGGGCCTGGGTAAGGTCTTTGGGTGTTATTTATGGGATTCCTTTGGAGGGTTTTAAATGACATAAGCTGATGTACGTACAGGGGGTAGTCATAGGGGGAGCAGTTAGAGGTAGGGCTGAGTGAGAAGTAGACTCTTCAGGAATTTAGAAGTAGAGTGCAGTTTGCTAATATGATGGCAGTTGTGGAGATAGGCGGCTGCAAGTCATGGTGACCTTTTTTTTAAACATTTTATTGGGGAACAGTGTTTTTCCCTGACCCATCAGCTCCAGGTCAAGTGTTTGTCTTCAATCTGGTTGTGGAGGGCACAGCTCAGCTCCAAGTCAAGTCGTTTTCAATCTAGTTGTAGCAGTGGGGGGTGGCGTACAGCTCACTGGCCCATGTGGGAATCAAACCAGCAACTCTAGTGTTATAAGCACTGTGCTCTAAACAACTGAGCCAACCGGCCGCCCCCATGGTGACCCATTTTAAGTTTGCAACTCCCATTTGTCATCTAGGTGTCTGTATCTCATGGAGGATGTCTGGGGTTTGGGCTAGGATCAAGATTTGGGAGTCACCAGTGATGCTATTTAAAGTTTTGGGATCTGGGACATCTGGAGTGTGGAGAGAACAGGAAGCCAAAGGCATACTTGGGCAGGTGGCTGTCTATCTTGGAAGAGCATGTGGGGTTAAATCCTTAGGTTTGGGTTTAGGGGAGCTGCTGAGAGGGTGGTGTGAAACTTCTGGGTTTTCACCAGGTGCCAAAGGAAATATTTGGCTTTGGTAAAATGGATATCTTGGGAAAAAGTGGTAGCCAACTGACTCCAAACCAGTTTCCCTGCAAGTCACCCCAGCAGAGATCCAGGCTAGCTAGCCCTGCCCCAAATCCTACACACACACCCCTGCTAGAAGTAGGTAGTATTTCCCAGGCCGGGACTTCTGCTTCCAGGCTCAGAGTAGGTAGCATGTCTGTCACTTAGAGAAGGGGTCGGCCAACTTTTACTATAAAGGGCAAGATGGTAACTATTTTAGGCTTTGTGGGCCATATGATCGCTGTTACTACTACTCAAAACTGCTGTTCTGTGTGAAAACAGCCATAGATAATACATAAATGAACGAGCATGCCTGTATTCTAATAAAACTTTATTCACAAAACCAGGAGGCAGGCTGGATTTGGCCAGTTTGCAGACTGCTGCTTTAGGCTGTAAATTATGTTGCATGTGACAGACCCAAACCAGTGGTCGCTTAAACAAGATAGAGGCTTATTTCTGTTACATGATAGTAGGGAGGTGGGTGTTCCAGGGCTGGTAGGATGGCTCTGCTTCCTTCAAGTCAACCGGGGAACCAGGCTCCTGCTATCTTGTTGCTCTGGGAACCTGTTGCTCCCGTGGCCCAAGATGCCTGGATGCCATATCCACATTCCAGGCAGGAAGGTGGAGGGAAGGCATGTCTCTTTCTAAAACTTGAGGACTCTACCCAGAAATTTAGCCAGAACTGTGACATGGCCATATATATAGCTGCAAGGAAATCTGGGAAATGTAGTCTTTGTAGCCATCATGTGCCTAGTGAAAAATTGGGAGACAGATATCAGTCTCTACCACATCCATCCCACCTGTGGGCTTTAAAAACATCCCTCAATTCAAATGAGTCTGATGATTATATGCAGGGCATCAACCATTGTCTCTAGGGGCAGGGAGAAAAACTGGCCTTGGGGGACGCAGGCCGGCCTTGGGCTTAAGAGCTGAAAATCAGATCTAATGGGAAATCTCCCAATGTTGGCCAAATACGACAGGAAAACAGAAGGTATCTCTGTTTGATTCCAAACCAGTTTCCTCGCACGGCCAGGCCAGCTCTGCCCTGAGCTCCCCACTCCTCATGCCCTTTTTATGTTCTCTGGGAATTCCTGCTAAAAAGCCAGAGTTCCTTGTTTAGATATCTTAATGTAGACCTTTTCTGTTTTTAGATACTATTTTCTGTTAGTTTATTCATGCCATCTTACCTACCCATATACAAAATATTCTATGACCAGAATGGCACATAAATATAAATGGGCAATAAATTATCTGGGGTGGGGGAAGCCATCCAATGTCATGGGCCCTCCTTGAGTGGGAAAGGCTGGCAGGGGGTGGGGGAGACAAGGACTTGAACTGCAACCCCCACATGACTCAGTACAGCTTCCAACTTTGTTGCCCTATCCCAGAGGCCCGAGCTGCTCCGTCTGGGACCCATGTGGTGGCCTGACAGGCCAGCAACACCTCACCTTCCCTTTCCCCACTCAGGCACAAATCCAGGGCAGTTTGCTTCTGCAGCCCATGGCATTCATCTGGGTGGAATTAAAGGTGATTACACAATCTGCAGCTACTTGTGATTTCAAACTATTTAATTGGGAATGAGGGAGACACAAATAACAATTTTCCCTCTTTCTTTGCTCTTTTTTTTTGATTGTTTGTTTAAACAAAAGATCTCCCTATTGTCTGATTTTCCTATTTCTCTGAAGGTCTTTGTGTCCCCCAAAGACTGAAACTCTAAACGAGCATCTTCTGGGTCCTATTTACCAGGAGCCCTTTGCCTTTCCAGGGAGGGAAGCAAGTCCCTAGAAGGGCCCGTCCCATATCAGAGGTGGGTCCCACCTGCCGCAGAGCCCCCATTGCCATGGGGAGGGCTGAAGCTGCACTCAGAGCTCCCCCCGGGCATGCCGGATGTAGTGTTGATGCAGCCCAGCTTCCTGGGCAAAGTCCTGACCACACTCAGTGCAGGCGAAGGGGCCAGGAGGGTCACGGGCCTCGTGCACCTGGCGGTGCTGCCTCAGAGAAGTGGCCTGCCCAAAGGTCTTGCCACAGTCAGGACAGGGGAAGGTGGACTGGGCAGTGGTGGGTGCAACCGGCAGGGAGAGCCTGGTGGCCGGACCATGGCTGCGCTGGTGGGCGATCAGGGCCTTGGAGGAGAGGAAGGAGCGGGCGCAGGTGAAGCAGATGAAGAGGGCCCCCTGCAGCTTCTGGGCCACGAAGTCCGCTGGGTGCTCCCGCTTCATGTGACGCTCCTGGAACTTGGAATTGGCGAAGGTGATGAGGCAGCGGGTGCACTGCAGGGCCCCCAGATGGCCTGAGGGACGTGGGGAGAGGTCGGGGGAGGCCAGCAGGAGTCTCCAGGACCTCTCCCAAACCCCACAATCATGCCAACAATTAACATTCAATGCTTACTATGTGTCAGGCTGTATGCCAGGGCTGGACAGTGGTACAGGCAAATTATTATTGGACCTGTTTTATGGATGATCAGGCTGAGGCTCCAAAAGGTTGGGCAACCTGCCCACAGTCATGAGGCTAGGAAATGAAAGGGAGTCAGGACTGGAACCCAGGGAGTCTGCCCTTCCCACAGAGCTGTCATTTACAGCACAGCCTCTGGAGCCAGACTGCCTGGAATTGAATCCTGGCTCTGCTACTTAATAGGCAGGTACATCAGCTTACTCATCTGGAAAATGGGGTCATAACCGTATCAGCATCTACTTCATAGGGTTGTTGTAAGGAATAAAGGAATAAATTTATGTAAAGTGCTTGGAACAGTCATATACAATGGTTTGCAATTATTCCTATTGAGAAAGAGAAAAGCAGCCCCACAGCTGGGAGCTGGCCTGGCACTCACAGATAGGCTCCTTTTGAACATAAACAATTTCACAGGACATCCTCAGACAAGGCCACGCTATGATGGACGTGAATCAAGACAAGGCCATGCCATAATGGCATGTGAACACAAAATGTGAACATTTTCCAAGCCACAAAAATGACCATATACCCCCCCGTCCTGGCTAATATGAGTGACCTCTGCTGCTTTACCAATCACAACTTGTGCCTTGCTTTGTTCCTCTGCCTTCTCGATTTTTTAAGATAGACAACCATTCAATTACCCCTGCTTCCTGGCACTATCCAATCCAGAGCGAAACCCTTCTTTGAATCCTCCCCAAAATCACCTACCACAAACCCAAATCCTATAATCAGTCCTTTGTAACTCTATTACTGAGATGCCCCACAGTGCCCCCATGGGGTGCAGTGAGCAATAAACCCAACTTGTCCCACCACAGGTGTGCTCCTGGGGGGGTCTTGGCTGGAGGGCATTGACACTGGCTGTCATTGTTATAAATACTTAACCTGTCTGCCACAGTACCCTCATCTGAAAGTGGTAATAACCAATTTTATAGGTAGGTTAGGAGGACTGAATGAGATAAGGAGTGATAATGGCCTAGAACATAGCAAGCATTCAGTAGAAGCTGTTGCCATTATTATGTCAAACGGGCTACCTTCATTAACCTCAAGCTTTCCTCTGTTCTACTAATCCCCATCTGTGAGGTGAGCAGTGGCAACCCCTTTTGACACATTGGGAAACCAAGGCCCATGCTGCACTGAAAGTCTGGGGCAGAGTTGGGACTGGAACCTTGGGGCTCTTCTCACAGTCTCTGCTCTTTCCCAGCCACATCTTACACCACAAGCCTCTCTGGATGCCACTTTGTCCCTCTGAACTGCATCCCATTCATACTTGGGTGGACAGAGCAGGGTAGGTATATCTGTGCATAACGGGTAAGGATGGGGAGTGTCAATTCCTGGTAGGGCAGCTCCCCAACTAGGAAGTGCCTGCAGCGCCTTGGATAATGAAATACTGTAGAAATCCTTTTAGCATCAGCTTCTGCACCCCACCCTCCTCTGGCCAGCTATACTCACAGATGTCTCCTTTTGTACTGCGGGGACTCCTCTTAGACGAATCCTGCTGCTCCATGGTCTCTTCAAGGGGTGGGTCCTCCATGGTGACTAGGACCCCTCTGGTCAAGAGAGGAGTACACATGATAAAATAGTAAATCAAACGAGGTCGCTCATCTGTCCCCAGCCTTAGAGAGCCCGCTAATTCTATGACCTTTGATGTAGAGGCTCCTTGCCAGCTTTTTTGTTTTGTTTTAGCTGAGCCATCCTGCCACCTGTTGGCAGCTCAGTGGCAGCTCAGCTCCCCGGGAATCCTTGCCAGCTTTTGACACCCCCTCCCCTCCCGCAAGATACCATCTCCTTAAACTCTAACCTAATGGAGCTCTCAATAGAGAAGCTTCGACTGTCCCAAAAGGCTGTGACTCCTGTTGACTGGTGAAAATAACTCTCCAAAATGATGCACAAAATAAAGGGTTTATTCGGAGGAAAGAAAAAAAAAATAACTACCACCGCAGTTGCTAGAAATTGCATTGCTCCTCGGGGATGGGGCCCCTACCAGCCGCCCACGCACACCTCCGACACCTGGCTATAACCAGCCTCCCACGTGGAGAACAGAGCGCTATATTGCAAGATGGCTTTTCCTATTTAAATCATCCCTCCCCCGAAAGCCACCACAAAGTTAAAACAGGAAGTCAGGGTTACAGAGAACAGGAAGTCAGGATTACAGAGCCAACAAGGGGCCCAGCTGCTCCCACAGTCCTCCCAACTCAATGGTCAAGCATCACAAAATGCCAGTTCACTTTTATCACTCCCGAGCGCCATGTCACCTGTGTGAGACCCAAGACCTAAATCAAACTAATGCTCTGAATTTAGAGCGCGGAACCCTTCCTTGATCTTTGACACCATCCTCATCCCCGTCTCTCCCATCTGTCTTGAGACAGGTAGTGGTACCCACGCTTTAGCCCGCCTCTTCCCGAGAGACATCTTTATCTGACATCTTCTAATTCTTGTTCCACCCAAAGCCCCCGCCTCCCACGCGCGATTTCAGCCACTGTCCCGCTGCCTCAAGCACTGCCCTCGGCTCTCCCCAGGCTGGTAGCTCAGGCGTCTGCTTTTTTCCAGGCAGCAGAGGGCTGCCTTTCGTAGCGCCTGTCAGTCGCTTGTCACAGCGCCGCCACCCGGAGGGAAGCAGGGTAGGGCCCACCGAGTCTAGGTCCCGGTGGTTTCCACCCCCTTTCGCCTGATGAGCCTCTTAAAGCCGAGATCCCGGATTGCCAACCGGCAGTGATGAAGTTACGCCCACTCGGTCCTCAAAAATAATGGGAGGGGTCCTTCTTGTGCACTGGGGCGCGTTATGATGACGTTGCGAGCCACCGGTGCCGTACAAATCTAAGTTTATTGCGCAAGAGTGCTAGGCTCTCCTGGCGCGCAGGCGCTCTGGCTCCATCATTGTTCCCGGCACTGCGGCAGCGGGAGTTGGAGAGCAAGTGCCCTTCGGCTGTTCTGCGCAGGCGCTGGGGAAGGCCGTGTCCCTGATATCACGCTTCCAAGACACACCTCCTAAAAGGAGTGACGTCAGGTTAGAGCCCCCGGAACCTGTCTGGACGTCCCCAAATCCCGGCGCTGCAGCCTCTTCGGCCTCTGTCCGCCCGACCCAGGGGCGGACTTCTCAGCCGCTGACCCACTGCCAGCAACTGCGCTCTTCCGTGTGAAGGCTGTTTGCTCGGTTGGTGATTTGGAAGGGAGGCGTGGGGGATAAAAACAAATCTGTCTCTGAGGGAGGACGGGGCTGGAGGCCGGATTTCTAAGTTTTTGAAGCAGAAAGGGAAACATCAGTAAAACGGCTGGATAGGCCTTTGGGTCCCTAAGGAATAGGGTCTGGGCGCCAGGTTTCTAGGTCCTTGGGAGTGATAACCCGAGAATGGAAGCGGGCAGGGTGGAGGACTAGGAAAGAAAATGGCTGGGGGCTTCTGACCCGGGTCTTCCTCACCCCGTGCTTCCCAGCTATGCCTCCGCCTCGGGGTGACGTGACCGCCTTGTTCCTGGGGCCTCCGGGCTCGGGAAAGTCCGCGCTGATCGCAGCGCTGTGCAACAAGGATGTGGAGATGGTAGATATCCCCGATGGACGGCCAGACCCCGGGATCCCCAGCCTGCGAGCTGCGGGCCCAGGCCTCTTCCTGGGCGAGCTGAGCTGCCCCCCCGCAGCGCCGGGGCCCTGGGCAGCGGAGGCTAACATGCTGGTACTGGTGCTGCCCGGCCCCGAGGGAAACGGCGAGCTCTTGGCTCCAGCGCTGGGGGAGGCAGCACGGGCCGCCCTGGCCCGAGGGACCCCGCTGCTGGCTGTGCGGAACCTCGGTCCTGGGGATTCACAGAATGAAGCTCAGGCCAGGGATCAGACAGCGGCCCTGCTGGACAGCGCGGGGTTGGGAGCTGCGCCTCTCTTCGTGCTGCTGGCGGACTGCGGCAACGGCGACGGCTGCGAGGAGCTGGAGCGCCTGCGGGGAGCGCTGCGGAGCCAGGCGGAGGCGTTGCAGCGGTGAGCGCGGCATTTCAGGGTGGGCTGGGAAGACCTGGTCCTATGTAGTCTAGACCTCACCCCCATGAGGAGATCTTTGAGGTCTGCGAGGCCCCGCCCCCAGCTAGTTTAGGGTTAGCCTTAACGGGATACCTGTTGGAGGCCCTGCTCCGGCATCCAGGTCCCGCCCCTCAGCTCTGGTTTTGAGGTCAGTTAGGCTCCACCCAAGCAAGCGCTCACTGCGTGACTCTTTTTCTGTCATCGAGGCCCGGCCCTAGCCAAAGGCCAGCTGGAGGCCCGGACTTGTCATCCAGGTCCCACCTCCTGTGAGAGCTGTATCACAAGCCCCACTTGCAAATGAATGTTCTAGGAGAGGCCAGGACCTATGGCCCAATACTACCTCCAGGCAAAAGTTTGAAGGAGGGCTCACCCTCCCACACAAGCTTGTGAAGGTTTTACCTAAAGATTTGTGCTCAAAAGTCTTTCTCGCCCTCCCCATCAGCTTGGTTCTCAAGCGACCCCAGTCGCCCTAAAGCCACACCCTCAGTGAGCTTCGTTATTTCTGGGTGCCCTCCCCCACTTCCTTTCTCTAATCCCCTCTTGTTTCTGTGCCCACTTACTGTCTACCTCCTGACTTTTCTCCCACAACCCCCAGCAGCCTCATTTCATAGACGTCGAAATGAGGGTGGGAAAGGGACAACCTCTCCTCCAGGCCCACTGCTTACCTTTTTTCCCTAGCCACACCCCTTTGGTAGGAACTAGTAGATGAGGCTTCTTCTCTGGTCTTTACTCCTCTCCTTACATCCAGTCTCAGGAAAAAGTGTGCTTGGTGACTTTGCCCATGTCGAATAGTGAATAGTGCTCGACTTTTGTTTAGTCCACAATACAGTCGCAATTCTGTCTTTGTTCCAAGCCATCACTTTGTGTGTTTTGCCTGGCCCAGCACAGCCTTTTGTTAACCTTGTAGGCTCCTTGGAAAAGCCCCGCCCCCAAATACTCCGTCTCCGTCTCCGGGAGGGCTTAGGCTGGGTCCCGGTTTTAGGCTCTGTGGGAAATGTGACCTCAATCAAGACCCCCATTCCTGCTTTAAGCCCCATCCTTTTCTTCATAGTCCTGGTTTTATCGGCTGGGCCATCAGTCGACCCCCTCCCTTTCCTGCTCTTGCCTCATCCGGGGATTATTCAGAAAGCTCCACCCTTGTCGTCATAGCCCAGTCCTGTCTCCCTAGCCCAGTTCTCCCTCATTTAGCCCCACTTTTAGCCCCTCTTTTGCCCTTGACCCCATCCTTTCCTGTCCCCGCAGGCTCCTGCCACCTGCTCAAGATGGCTTCGAGGTGCTGGGAGCAGCAGAGCTGGAGGCTGTGCGCGAGGCCTTTGAGACTGGTGGTTTGGAGGCGGCGCTGTCTTGGGTTCGAGCTAGCCTGGAGCGACTGGGCAGTGCGCGGCTGGACCTGGCGGTGGCCGGCATGGCTGACATGGGCCTTGTGCTGAACATGTTGCTTGGGTTGGATCCTGGGGACCCAGGGGCCGTGCCTGCTTCCGTGCCTGTGGAGCCCACGCCCTACCCAGCCCCAGAGCGCCCCAATGTGGTGCTCTGGACCGTACCTCTTGGCTCCGCAGGCACTGCTGCTGCCCCCCACCCTACCCATTATGACGCTGTCATCCTTGTTACCCCAGGGGCCCCCACTGAGGAGGACTGGGATCAGGTCAGGCCCTTGGTGCTACCAGATGCGCCGCTGGTCTGCGTGCGAACAGACGGCGAGGGCAAGGATCCGGAGCCTCTGGAAGAAGATGAAAAGGCAGAGAAGCCCGGCGGCGAGAGCTTAGAGAACGCAGTAGTAGTGGGTTTGGAGGATTCACGGAGCAAGGGAAGGGAGAAACGTGGCACTGGCTTGCAGAAAGCAGGCAGTGGGGAAGGTTCAGAGAAAGCAGGCAGTGAGAGTTTGCAGCAAGGTGGTGGCTCGAAGCAGCCACACAGTGGGGACTTAGAGCATGTGGCTGCCGGGAGCCCGGAGGACGACACATGGGAGGTGCTGGAGGAGGCACTGCCGCCAGTGTTCCCCCTACGGCGAGGCGGACTCCCCGGGCTCTGCGAGTGGCTGAGGCGCACGCTTCCCCCAGCTCAGGCTGGGGCACTGCTACTGGCACTGCCACCAGTGTCTCCGTGTTTGGCCCAAACCAAGGCTGCTGCGCTGCGAGCTGGGGCATGGCGGCCGGCTCTGCTGGCTAGCCTGGCGGCAGCAGCAGCACCAGTACCCGGACTCGGCTGGGCCTGCGACGTGGCGCTTCTGCGCGGTCAACTGGCAGAGTGGCGGCGGGCACTAGGGCTCGAACCAACGGCGCTGGCCCGACGTGAGCGCATGCTGGGCCTGGCACCCGGGGAGCTGGCGGAGCTGACGCACTTCCCGGGCCCGGTGACGCGTGCTGAAGTGGAGGCCAGGCTGGGTGCCTGGGCAGGCGAGGGCACTGCTGGGGGCGCGGCACTGGGCGCGCTCTCTTTCCTGTGGCCTGCAGGTGGCGCAGCGGCCACTGGTGGCCTGGGTTACCGGGCAGCGCACGGCGTCCTGCTGCAGGCGCTGGACGAGATGCTGGCAGACGCGGAAGCAGTGCTAGCATCCCATGCGCCTGCACATTGATGGGTGGAGATGATGATTGGGACTTCCTGAGTACCCTGCTTCCTGGCTGCTTGGCTCTGCCAGGGGCTGAGGACTCCAAGTCTGCTTAGAGGGAGGGGTGGGGGTTGAGGGTCCAGACTCTGGCATGGGATGTCTGGGCCTCTGAGATAACAGCACGGGGGCTGCCACTTCAAATCCTGGGTGCTTGAATGGGATGAGACTCTACTGGTTGGGATATGTGGCTTCCAAGACCTGGATTCCTGAGTCTTGCAGGGGAATAGAATCTGGAGGTCAGGACTCCTGAATATTCTGGCGATCATGGGGCAGGGCCCCCTAACTTGTGTTCTGAGGGGAGTTGAAGGGTTGAACTAGAAGAGGGTATATGTTGGTCTTCAAGGAAGTAGAAACTGGATCTATTATTGGATGTCTAGTCCTCCAGGAGGAGGAGGAGTGGAAGCCCTGATTCCTGATGAGGGGCTCTCCATATATTGGGGATTTCAATATGGAGGACTGGGTCTGGGTACTCCAGGGAGTTGGAATCCTTTGACTTCTGAGCCACAAAGAGATGTAGGGTTTATGTTTCCTGAGGAGAATAGGCCTGCACACAGCCTCCCAGTTCCTCAAGAGGCAGTGGGCTTTGAATCATCATGCGTGGAGGAGCAATCCGTGGAGTCTCAGATTCCTGGATCCCAAGAGGGCTGTGGACCTCGGTTCCTAATTCCTGGATAGTGGGAGGTCTGCATCTAGAGGAGGGAACAGGGGCTGTGTGACAGCCAGAAACTCTTTAGTCTTTCTTGGTGAGTAGAGGGATGTTTCATATTTGCTGCTCGGGGATGCCTGGTGACGACCCAGACTCCTTTCCTAGCTGTTGTGGGGAGAATGGCCCCACGAAAATGAAGGGAGGAGGTAGGAGGGACGTAGTGGGCTCTGGGGGTAGCCAGAGATCAGGAATGAGGTCTACTGGGAATGGAAGGTCAGTAACCCATACCTCCGAGGTATCTCCTGCAAATCCCTAATGAATATGGGTCCTGGAAACTGCCCCTCTCTCTCTGTGACTTTGGGAAAGGATAAGACTGCCCCCATTTCATAGGTGCTGAGCGATTCAAGGGCTCTCTGGGGACAATCTTCTTCTGTCCCTCTTTCTAGTGGTTCCTGTCTTTTGGCCTTGGTTTCTTCTGTCATCAAGCCTGAACCCTTTCTGGCCTTGGTATTTTGTGCACCTGCCTTTTTAGAGAAGCAGCTGTACTGCAGCACTAATCCAGATGTTTGTTTCTGTGTTGGCTCCCTCAGGCATCGTCAAGAGGCTCTGCCTTCTGGTGTACACAGAGAGTGCTGCAGTGAGCAAGTGAACAGAGAACAGCTGTGCAGATGTTCTAGCCCTTGGGAATGTGCCGTGAGTGAGGCAAAGGCAGAAACCACAGTGCCTAGAATGTTCTGGGCTGCCACCTACATATAGAGGAGCAGCCACAAGTCACAGAATTCTTCAATGTCAAAAACGGGGGGGGG